CCAGCTGGCGTCGACGGCGGCGATGGTCGGGCTTGAGGCAGAGCCTGGGGACATGCTGGAGTTTTCGATTCAGGACATCGCCGATTGCTTTTACCAGTTCAAGGTCCCGGACTACATGGTGCCGCGGTTCGGGGCGAGGCCCGCCAGGGCCGGCGAGGTGGGGGCCAAGACCGTGCAGGGCGAGCCGGTGCTCGCAGGCGCCTGGGTCTACCCATGTCTGCGGGTGCTGCCCATGGGTTTCTCGTGGGCCATGAGATGGACGCAGCAGGCGCATCGAGAGCTGCTGCGGCGGGCAGGGCTTGGAGGCATCGAGAGCGAGCTGGTGGGCCGCCAGGTGCCCCCGACGACCTCGGCTACGCCTGTTTCCCGCATCGTGTACGTGGGCAATGAGGTTTTCGTCTCGTCTCGACCAGGTGCCTCTGCCGACGCCAGGCAGCAGGCGGCCAAGAAGATGTCCAGCGTCGGGCTGCCGCTGCACGAGGTGGAGGAGGGCGAGCATGTCGTCGAAGCGCTGGGCCTGGAGCTGGACGGCATCAAGCTCCGGTGCCGCCTGGCCTCCTCCAAGCGGTGGCGGCTGGCGCAGGGCGCGCGTGCGCTGCTGCGGCGGCGGCTGGTGGCCGGCAGGGGCGTCGAGAAGCTGATCGGCCATTTTACGCATGCCATGCTGCTGAACCGCCCGGCGCTCTGTGTCTTCCGCGCCGCTTGCGACTTCGCTCGGCGGCATTACCGGGCGCCCAGCCTGCCCTGGCCTTCTGTGAGGCAGGAGCTGCAGAATGCCATGCGCATCATGCCGCTGCTCGCGGTGCAATTCGATATGCCGCGGTCTGGGTTGGTCACCTGCTCCGACGCTACGCTGAGGGGCTACGCCGTGCAGGAGGCGGACTTCCCGGTGTCTGAGGTAAAGCAAGTGGGGCGCTGGAGTGAACGCTGGCGCTGCAAGGTCGAGGGGGCCGGCCGTCCTCGGGATTGGGCGTTGGGTGGCGCTCTGCCGCTCGACGGACTTGAGGGTTTCGCTGAAAATGGAGAACACTACTGCGACGACATTGCCATTAGCATCAATCATCAGTTTCCTGAGCTACCAGCATCATTCACTAAGGAGGGGGTTACTTGGAGGACTATACAAGCGAGAAGGTATCACAGGAAGGAGGCAATCCACCTGAAGGAGTTGAGAGCGGTGTTATCTGGGTGGAGGCGCAAATGCAGACAAGCTAGACATCATCACAAGCATCATCTATATCTGTGTGACAACATGGGCATGGTTTTGAGTCTGGAGAAGGGGCGAGCTGTATCTGTACCCGTACTCTTTCTGCTCAGGAAGTGGGCCGCGCTTTCTCTGGCCACCTTCTCTCGCACCTGTGTGAGGTGGATTGCGAGTGAGCTGAACCCCAGCGATGAGCCCAGCCGATGGTTCGACACGCCGGCGGAGAAGGCGGCGGCAGCTGCGTTGGGAGCCCACCGGCGCGAGGCTTGCGGAGAAGTGTCTGAGGCGTGTAGCAGCGCCTCCGGCGCCGGCTGGTGCAGGCGCGCCTGGCACCCCTCCGCCGTCGGCGGGCCGGCTCCCGAGAGACAGCTGCAGCGGCGGAGCGGCCCGGTGCCCGACGCTGTCGCGGGGCCATGGCAGAATGGCGGCGGCCCAGGGTACCTCGACAGGGCGGCTGCGCGGCTTATCAACGTGGTCTCGCCGATCCCCTGCGAGGCCGAGAGGCCTCCTCCCGCCTCCGGCGGCTGGAGCAAGGGACCGGGCTCTCGTGAGGATAGCTGGCACTGGTGGGCCGACCGTCCTGGAGCAGGAAAGCGCGACGGCGAAGACCACGGAGGACTGCGGGCGGAAGCTGGAGCGGTTCTTCGGCTTCTGCAGCATCAACGGCCTGGCGCTCGACACCTACCCGCTGCTCAAGGAGGCCCTGGCGGAGTACATGGACCTCTTGTTCGCGCAGGGGGGGCCCTTCAGCAGCGGGGCCAAGCTGCCAGCGCCAGTAGGCCATCGCTGGCCGAGGCCCCATCATGCCATGCGGTTGCTGAAGCTGCCGAGGGAGGCGAAGGCGCTGCAGGGCTGGCGGCGTCTGTTGTCGCCGATGACACGGGCGCCCGTGCCGTGGGCCGCCGTGGCGCCCATCGCGCTGGCATTGGTCAGGCGCAGGCAGCCGCTGGCGGCTCTGGCGTTAATGCTTGCGGCGGACGCCTACCGTCGGCCAGGCGAGCTGCTGTCGCTCCAGGCCAACCGTGTGGTCCCAGCCCAGTCAGAGGCCGGAAGCGACTACCGCTTCGCGTCGCTGGAGCCGAAGCCAGAGGAGGAGCTGCTGCCGACCAAGACGAAGGGCTCCAACGACTCGATCCTGCTGGACGGCACGTCGAGGCGCGACCTGGGTGCGCTGGTGAAGCGGCTGGCGAGGCAGAAGAGCTTCTCGGCGGAGCTCCTCTTTCCGTGGTGGGCCGCGGTCTCCACTGCCATGTTCGAGCGCGCCGCGGCCGTGCATAGGCACGAGAAAAGTTCGCGGGTGATGCGGCGCACGGCGACGCAGCCGCGGGACTACCAGCTGCCGATGGCCAGTTCAACCAGCAGCCTCGAGGCAGGACTCAGGTTCAAGCACGACGTAAAGTTCGCGAGCAGATGCCACGACGCGGGTCTTGCGTGAGGCCCTTGTTTTTGGAATTGTTTTCGGGCAAGCGCGGCCTCTCTCAGGCCCGGGCTCGCAGAGGCTGGCGGTCGGCCACTTGGGACATTCGAGACTCACCTAAGCAAGACTTGTCAAAATAAGCCGTAATTAGGCGCGTGTTGAAGTGCGTTCCCAGCGCAGGCTGGGTGCATCTCGGCACGCCATGCAGCAGTTTTTCGACAGCAAGGCGAGGCAAGCTTGGCAGTCCCGGGGGCCCCCTCAGGTCCAAACTGTATCCCGGGGGCCTTCCTGAGCTTTCTGGCGTGGATGCGACCGAGGTGTCGGTCGGAAATCGTCTGGCCCAGGCCTCGGTCCGTATCATTCGAAGCTGCATCAGATTTAGCGTGCCTGTGTCTTTGGAAAACCCCAGGTCGTCTTGGCTGTGGCAGCAGCCAATTCTGGCCCCTCTGTTGCGAAAAGCTTGTCTGATCAATACTGTATATTGCAAATTCGGAAGCCCATGGCGGAAAGCCACTACCATTGCCTGCTGGAATGCGGGTATCCCATGTGCGCTGGAGCCTCTGCGCGCCGAATGCAATGGCCCTCGCTGCAAATATTCTGGTGACCGCCATCAGGTCTTAGAAGGCAAAGCACCAGGAGGCAAGCTCTGGACGTTGGTCGCAGAGCCCTACCCTCCTCGCTTGGTTTCTTTGTGGGCGTCATGTGTCGACGCTGATGGGGACCCCATCGCTTGGTGGCGCGGCGTGATGATAACGGCGCCTCGCTGCTGGGTGTCTCCGCGGTGTGCTTGCACTGTTGGGGATTTCGGCTGAAAAGTGCCGCCTCAACCGCCAGGTCGCTAGATTTTGGCGGATATCGGCAAGTTGGCCAGCTGGTCCTTTTTCTGTTGTCTCTCTGCTGCTGCCGGACAAGCCCGGCCGCAGCTGCAGCGATAATAGCCTGGCCTTGAGGAAAAGTGGAGCATGTAGCAACGTGTAACAGTGTGCAATGTTGAATGTTTCCGCACTGGCCGCAACTGTCTGTGCTCAAGCGGTTTTCGATCCCAACCACTCCGCTTTGCGCCTCTCTCAGAGTGCTCTCGCACTACCGCAAGCTTGGCAGTCGCTGGAGGCAAGTTGGCCAGCTGGTCTTTTTTCTGTTGTCTCTCTGCTGCTGCCAGACAAGCCCGGCCGCAGCTGCAGCGATACTAGCCTGGCCTTGAGGAAAAGTGGCGCATCCTCTTCCTCCTCCTCCTCCTCCTGCTCCTCCTCCTCCTCCTCCTCCTCCTCCTCTTCCTTCTTCTCCTCCTCCTCCTCCTCCTCCTCCTCCTCCTCCTCCTCCTCCTCCTCCTCCTCTCGCGACGCGAGGGGGTCTGGGGGCCGAGGGGGGGGGAGGGAGCCATGGCCACGACGGCCATGCTCCCCCGGAGGGTCCGGCCGCGGTGGGCCCCGCGGGAGGGTCGGGGAGACGCAAGACGTAAGTCGGGCGTGTGGGTTCCTCTGCAGGAGGAGTACAGTCGGGGGTGGACAGATCTCCTACCCTGACGCGTCGATTAGTGAATTGGCTGTTTGCGGTTCGCGAGAGGGCGTCGCGGGCGTCACTTTTGCGGGTCCAGGTCCGTCGGTGTCGGTCCCAGGCCGTTTTCACTAAGGGGAGGTTTACTAAAGGGAGGTTTGTCCACCGCCGATGCAGTCAACCCGCGTAGCAAGGATGGGCAACTTTCCCAAGGATGCCCTTGCATCCTTGCCCCTTCGACCCATCCTTGGCGACTCTCGCTGGCCAACCTCGTGCGAACGACGTCCACATGGCTTTCCAAGGCCCTTGCATCCTTATCGTGTATCCTTACCCCGCGGGTTGACTGCACTCAAAAGTAGTAAAGAGTGGCGGGCCGACCGAAAGGGGGAGATAGTGAAAGGGAGGGGGGGGTACGAAACCTTCTGCATGCAGCCGGTTTCGGCGACGGTCCCGCCGCCGCGCCCATGCCTCGATGGATGGGCGCCTCCCGGCTCCGGGAGGCGCCGGGACAATCAGCCACGTGAGCTGATTCTCTACCCTACCCTACCCTCTGCTATCCCCCCCTTCCGTTCCCCCCCGAAATGACATGACGATCAAGTATGACGATGAAATGACATGTCAGGGGACGCTTTTTCTATGACGATTACCATCCAGAATAAGCCTGTAGGATGAATTGCCCGACCTAGCGCAAGGAGCGAGTTCGCCGGAATTCGGTCCTGCCGACGCGTTCTGGCGGGCCCGTTTTGCCTTCGCTCGGCGTAGTTTTCGTGGGATGTCTGCAGCTGGAGCTGGCGTCAGATGTCATAAAGTTAAACATCCAGAGTAAGGACGGATAGCCTTCCCAAGGGCATCCTTGCGTCTTTAGATTTGTTTGAAAGTGCTCCGCTAGAAAAACTTCAACTGGGGCGTCCAGGGTCTTGCGTCCTTGCAGCGCGTCCTTGCTGCAGATGTTGACTGTAATTAGGTCGCGTATTCGTCGCGTGATGTTGGTTGCGATGTGGGTAGTTTGAACACCTTTTTTTCAGCGGAAGACTGGACAGCTGCAGTGCTCGCTCGTGCCAGAGCTCATGTGCCTACGGACACGCGACTTCATTCATTCATTCATTTTCCTGACGGCCTCGTCAGGCCAACCGCCTGCGAGCCCCGCAGGGTGGAACGCAAAGGGGGCGGGCCTCCTGAGAAGTTTTCTCAGACTTTTTCGAGACTAGAGACGGCTTCTCAGAAGGCCGGAGGGCTTCTGAGAGGCCCTGTCGCCTTCCGAGAAGGCCTGCACCCGCTCCTCACCCAGGTGTGTGTATATATATATATATATATATATGTATATATATATATATATATACATAGATATTTGTACATAGATGGGGACCATGATCAAGATGTCGCGGAATCCTGCCGATGCCGATGTCGGTCATGGTCCATGTCGGCTGTCGCCGACCTGCGAGGGCGATCCACGAATCGACGCCCACCGAGCCCGACGCCGACCGAGATCGACACGACGCCTCCGCGCTCAGTTTTGGCCCTGGGCCTCCTCCTCCTCCTCCTCCTCCTCCTCCTCCTCCGGCGGGAAGGAGAGTGCAGAGGAGCGGCGCTTGGCTGCCGCTGCGAGTGCCCGAGCTGTGTCCCAGTTTGCACGCGAGGTGTCGCGGCGACCGATGCTGGCGAATTCGGCTCGTCTCAGAGAGTTGGCGGCTAGGGGGGCCCTCAATCTCCGACCTCCTCCTCCTCCTCCGAGTGCTGCTGCTGCTACTGCTTCCTCCTCGTCCTCGGGGGCCCCTCAGCCTTTTAGGCTTGCCGAAAATCATGTCC